GCTGGCTGTCACTTGTTTTTATAATTATTATTTTTTTATTTCTCTCATTCCTTTATTTATTATGTTGTTAAATGAAGGTAACTGTTGTTTTTTGTTTAGTTTTACCAAATTATGCGTGAGCTACTTCTCTTATTCTTCGTTGTATTTTCTAACCTCTTTGCTTTAATTGAAATTTCGTTCTCGCACTTTGTCTGCACATGCGTAATTCATTAACTTCGTCTTTGCATTTAAACATTTTTGTATGTAGCGTGTGAACGTATAAGGCTTCTTCAATTTATGGACACATACCAAATCGGTTGGTTTGGCGTACCTAACAACAACTACAGTTGTTTTGTTATTCATGCCGCAATGCAAAAATTCAAAATAGTCGTCGCGTATACTTTCGGTGGTAACTTTTGCTTTCGGGAAGGCTTAGCTACGCATATAGAGTTTCGCATTATATTTCGGCAGTTTGCTTTAATGTCTCTAACAATCAGATTCACATCATTAAATATATGTATGTATGAACCAGTATATACACAGATACATCTATTGTTGTTTGCTTTTGTTGAGGCGGTCTCAAAAGCAGTTGGATTTATATATAAATACATACGTATGGAGTTGTTATTTTTTCAAACCCTGTTTTGTTTCCGAAGTGATGTCATTTTGGTATTTTTTGGCACTTTTTCGGCACTTTTAGTTACATACAAGACTCTTGTGTTTATGTATAATAAGCAAAATGTACAACAATAAGAATTAAATGCTATATTAAAATAAATTCACCTTAATTATGGCTTACAAGTAACCCTGGATCATTATTAAGCTATAAGAGAACTTAAAAGTGTTTTATTTTCATAAAAAATCTTTTTGATGACTTTTGTGGATTATTCTTAGTTTGATGAATTTCTGCTTCGTCAGAAATATAAATTTAATTTAGTTTTTGATTAATCATTTTAGACATGTGATTTTTAAAGAAACAATATTTTTTCGAAGTTGGTATTTTTGACCCTCTGTTATTTGATTTATAATCAATTTGGTTTATCGTTTCAAGAAGAACAGACTTATCCCAGAACAACTTTTGCAAATTGAGTATCAAAATCATTTACGATCATTAGAAAACTTTATTGAATGATGAAGCCACGGGTTTGGTAGGTTAATAACTAAAATTGTCCCATTTGGTGTGAGGATATTTCTTCAAAAATTAACCGTATAAGGTTCATGTGTTTGGTTCCAACAAGACGGCTCTCCATGCCATAAATGATTGAGGAATGCACCGCGACCTGAGGTCTATTGTGCCATACAGCCAACGAAACAATCTATTCAATGAAAAAGTCTCATGTCGAGGGGCTGTGGTATGACTGCGATTTAACGCCGCTGAACTTTTTCATGTAGGCTCATGTGTAGTCTTATCTATGCAGCGCGTTATTGCTGAAATACAGCCATTGTGACGAAGAGTGGTCGAAAATTGTGTCTCTCGACTGGAATTTATTCAATCCAGCGTTCATTTTCGCGAACTCATTTTTACAACTTAAGCATAATGGCAGATAAGAGTTCGTTATAATTAAGCCAACTTTTTGACCATTCTTTTTTTTTTGTGAGTGAGGGGATGAAAATTGCCTTCCACATCAGCAGAGCTAGCTCACAGCAACAGTATGTACCACTTGCAGGTCACTAAAAACTCATCTTCTAAGAAAGCGTCGACCACCTTAGAAACGCGTTTGGATTAGTTCAGAGTGGTGTCATTTTGCTCATTGAGAGATTTACTTCCGCGCAACTGCATCCTGGTCCCGCTTTTTTTCGGCGTAGCGAAATTGCTGCGTATTTCTGGAAAATTCACCAGTTTTATTCGCTCTCCAGCATGACGCTGATTAAATTGTCTTCTAAGCCGTTGAGTTCCCGTTGCCATCGCACACATTTAAAGAATTTGTGTTCTGTCATTGTGTAGGCATGACGGTAGTGTACGTAGGTAGGTGTCCGGTTAGCAGCTGTGTTTTGTAGAAGCCGATCAACTGCCGTGACTCTCATTCTCCCATCATCGTGTCTTTCTTTTTTCGGCCAATTGCGCTCTATTTACAATCTTTCCAATGTTCATTTTTTGAAATTTGTTTTAAATAAATAATATCATTAATTATGATATGAAAAAAGATATCAAGTATTTCAGATCAATCGCTTTCTTCGAGTTCTTTCGATGATGAATTCTTAAAATATATCAAGATGTCT